ATATCATTTAGCTTCGAATCCAAGATTACTGAATGAGGAATCTAGATGCTTGCCAATGTGCTATACATTGCTTATAAGATCCCTATCTTTTAGTCTATAAAACTGAAAAGAACTATAAATTTTTTTCAAAATATAACAATATTTTAAAAACTCAGATTCATTGGTATAAACGATTTCCTTATTTTTGTCATAGAATCATCTGTCCAAAACTCATTGAAATGAGCGAGTGAGTTACCATAGTTTCTCCGTGCGAGCATTGTGAAACGTACTTCTTCGTGTTTGGAAATGTTCAAAAAATCTGCATCAGTTATTTACACACACAACTAAGCAGACAATCGTTATTTTACGGACATAAAATATACACCATTCAAGCATATATATGAAAATGAGTAGTGTGTATTTGAACTTTTTTCTTGTTGCAAATTTCGATGGCGCCATAGTACTAAACTTTTTCTTTGCAAAAAATATCAACAATAGCATTTAGGCCATCAATGAGAACAAGCGTAATGTTTGACCGATTTTGATGAACAAAAATTCATTTTAAAAACGAAGATTTAATCTAGAACATATTTTGTCGAATATTTGAAAAAGCTTTATCTTCTTTGAAAAAAATCATGTTAAAAATGATATTTTTTCGAGAATAGTTTATTCACAAATAAAAAACTTTTTCAAAAATTCGTGAAAAATAAATATTAGATTGAATTTTTGTCTTTAAAATGAGACTTTGTTCATAAAAATCGGTTAAGAATTATGCCTGTTCTCATTGATGTTATAAACTATTATAAAACCAGGGATAATGAATAGCCTTAACGCGGAAGATTCATCGATATGCTTTAATATTTTGTATCTGTTTGCTATGGTATGGAGTGTTTGGTATGAGAGTAGAATCTATTAACCATTTTGTTTTTCCATCTGTATTGTTATTATCTTTGATTGGCAAGATATTAATTAATCTTATTTTTTTTTGCAGGTTTAGCTTACTTCCAGTTTATTTCACCCATTTTCGTTTTGGTATAAGAATGCATGTAACTTATATTTTTTTTTATGATTCAGAGCTATCTAATATCAATGGGTCATAGTTTCTATTGTTAATCTTAATAAGCATTTTAGGATTTAAAAATGGAAGCAGTTAACTGCTATCCGCAATAAATGCCAATTTGTTTGTCAAAAATGCCAAATGTCTACGTTTATGTTATATGCATTTGAATCTGTAGATGTTTGTTAACAATCATATGCTTATTCACTTCGCTACATAGGATTCAGCAATGATAGATCAGTTGTCTGCATGTGTTTATACGAAAACAGTTTGTGAACGACTGAATCTGAATTTGAGATTTTAAATGTAATTTTGAAGAATGAAGAATTAAAAAATAGAACTAATCCCAATGTTACACATTGAATACTTCTTGAGAAATTTTTATGAAATATGGTAGAAAATGTTTACAAAATGTAATTTTTCACATAGTTGTGAAATAATGACAAAGAGTATAACAAAAAAATGGAAAAAAATTTATAAAGTATTTAATTCTGAATAAATTCATGTAAAAAATTCTACTAATAACAAGCTATTAGAGTAAATAAATTGTATTTTTAATAAAAACAATAATATAAAAAAAACTGGATACAGTTACGTCAAAGTCAATCATTGATGTCTACAGTGATAATTAACTATTCTGATATTTCCTGATTGTCAAAATAATTTAATAAAAAAAATAATATTATTTTATAAATTAATTACTTACATCCTCAAATTAAATTTTTTCATCAACTTTTTAAATTGTCCTTCAACAGCCTCAATGGTCATCTCAGCAAGACAAGTTACGGATGAAAATGCATTTTCCAACATTCTTGTGTTGTTCTTAATTTCTTTAACGCATGTATGATTCTTTGTAAAAGTTCATTTACATTCTCTGATTTTTGAGTATACATTAACATTTATTACCCGAAAAGAGCTGTAATTCGAAAATAAAGTGTTTGCAGATCGATGTTTATCTAAACTTTTTTCATTATTTTAATCATAGGAATATGCCTATAAAGTTCAGAAGAAATCTCCTGGAACGTGTTGTATATTATATGTAACGAATTTTATTAAATCATATACAAAATGTCAGATTGCACTTTTGAATTTTAATAATATGGTGCTCTAATTTTTGAAGGAATTCGCTCGTTGCGCGATTTCTAATGTATTCAGAGTTAAAGTCTTATCTAAACATAATAAAATATCACATTCTAAAATTTATGTCTATATATCAAATTTTCTATAACTTGACAAAATGTATAATAATTGAAAATAACAATAATGAAGGATTTAATCCTTATCTGAATAATCTATTCATGTAACGTAAAAGGGCAATATTTCGCGCGATTTTAATAAACGATATATTTCATTTTTAGGATAAATTTGTAAGAATACTTACAACTTTTTGTTAATTTATTTATTAGTTTATAATTAGGATTAAATAATTTATATGTACATTAATATTATATATAAAATTGTAATATAAAGTATATTATGATATTAGATACAAATATAAAGCAAAAATTTTAATTATTTTCTGAACATTTAAAATATGTTCTATTTATTTTACAATGCTCAAATGTTGTTTTTGCAATTATTGCAAACTTGCCTTTGCATTCTTGTGTTTTTTGAAGAACATATGTGGCATCTCTTTTCAGCAAAAAAAGTTTTGTTTTAAATACTTTATTGTTTTTTTGTAATTTTTGTAATCATTGTAATCTTTGTATCTCTAGTTAGCTTACAGTGTTTTCTTTGCATTTGTAATGTTACAAGCTCTTCTGCTACGTTTACAAGAAACATACACCTTTTTTGTGTTTTTAAATATTTCATATTGGATTCGAATTCATTCAAAAATATGCTGCTATACCAGCTATATTCAATATATTTATAAAATAAATAAATGGCAAACGGTTTGTACTTTTAGTTTTTGTACTCTATGTCTTTCGCAGATACATTCATGAAACATTGATCAAGAGTATCCTTCGCACCCTTTTTCTTGTTATGGTTCAATATTATTACTCGATTAATTTTTATAAAGTTAATTTTACTTGTGTGATGCATTATAGATAGAACGATTACACTCTTTCGTATTTTAGGGGCATAAAACACGAATGTGAAATGCTTCCAAAATCCAAAAATTGAAGATTCTTTCTTGCGATCTTTACGTGATTGAAATTCTTTTGGTATGGATATTTTCTTTTTGTTTACAGTGCTTATGATGAGTAAATCCATTTGCGAACAAATTGTTTGTCAATGTTAAATCAGTAATATCTATCTACCAATAAAATCAATTATCTATCGTTATATTTCTATTACTTCTGTAATAAGAATCCGTAAGCGACTCGATAACTTTTCTTTTCTAAAGTAATTTTATTTCTCTTTTCCCAACAATATGAAAATCCGTTCAAAGGGTAAAATGTCTCAGAATCGCAAATTTTTATTCCATATTTATCTGGTTTAGGTGGCATGTACTGTTTGAAATAGCACTGGCCTCAATAAGATACAAGTTGTTCATCAACAGTAATATACTTCTCAGACATATAATATTTTTTCAAGTTTGTATTTACTTGTTCCCATATATCATGTATTGCTGCAAATTTATCTTTTTCTCGCCGTTGAGTGTTCTTATTATTAAATTTTATAAAATGTAAAAGAATCTTGGATCTATTTAAATTGGCTGTAGCTCGAAAATTTGATGGACCATAAATTGTGCTTCACAAAACATCATAAATTTTATTATTTATTTTCGTATGCCCATCAGAGAACAAAAAAGCAAATAATATATGCATTTCTATTTTATTTGTATATTTCCATTTTTTGGCAGATACAACTTGAAACGCTTTCGCATTTGTAAATTTTATAATATCTTCTATTATGTTAGATGTAATACATAAATATAATAAAATGCTCTAAATAGATTTTCCAAACATTTTTCTTCTGGTATACGTACCTTATGTAGTTGAATTCTTATTATATTATGAGCTCTTCTATGGCTAATAGAATGCAGAATATTAGATCATTTCGTTCCGTCTTTTCAAAGATGGTAGTGATATAATGTGTCTGATTATCAGCAAAGTATTTCCAATTCCAAGTTGAATGTTGTTATTAATAACTTAAATATCATCTTCCTCACTCACAAACAATTTGTTGTTTGCTTCAAAATTAGATTGAAGATCTGAATAATTAACATCATCTACTTTTGTATCAATATGCGATAAATTATCTAAAATGTTTTTCGCTTCTTTATTATTTAATCTTCTTTTATTAACCATCATTATTTTTATTATTTAAAGAAATTATTAACGCTAAATTGTTTCAGAGTCAAAAAGCTTCCAATTTTCAATTCATTAAAATTTACTCTTATATATTTCGTTGACATCTATCCCTGCTGACTACGCGATCCCATTTTTATGGAATAATCCTGCTTTTCATTATCTTTTGCCATAATAATGATCATAATAAGTTGATACATTAAAAAATACCTGAAAGAAGTTCTTAATATCTCAAGTACTTTTTACACTATCAAAAAGTGCGTGAGTCAATTGGATTCACGTTGACTGGATAAAGGTTAAAAGAATAAATTTTATGCTTTGCATTTTTAATATCTATAGGAATGATTCTGAGTAATATATAGATTCAAATAATTTATCATCTAGCGGAGCAATGTTATGGTCAGTGTTAATGCGCAAATTTGTGTTCAGATACGCGTGCAAACTTGCTAAATATATTTTGTATATTCTTATGTAATATATAGAATTTTCGTACATTGAGGAACGTCTTTATAATAGATTTCAAAGCGCGGTCATAAGTTTATACAAAATTTCGTTCATATTTTTTTTGATGTCAGATGAAGTTCATTCGTTAATTATTTTCATGATAAGCAAAGAGATGGAAACTGTAAAAAATTTTATAGATATTTTTGATAATTCTTTTTTTTTAGGCAAGGGTGACAAACTATCATATTTTCGTTAGACATTTAATCTCAGTTTACAAAAGTTTTAATTTTTTTTAAGAATAGTTAACAGTATTTTTGTTTGTTACAATATCTCGCCGATAATACAATAAATTGTGATATATCGTAGTGTACGAAATACATACTGGAATCTATATAACGAAAAACATACTGAATTTTAATTGAAAAAACTCAGCGTCTTTTTCCTTTTATTTTCTTCTTTCAAAATCAATGTAAGGAGAACGCAAGATATATTTATTAATTCTTGTTAATGCTGTTCGTTTGTTTACCGTTTCATAAATTTGTTCTATTTATATACTGTAAATCGTTCCCCGTGTATTTCGATCTTTTTTTCTTCTTTTAGTTGAACGAGGTAGCCGTATCGCCATTTCTCTTCCCTGTCAAGAGTGCATTTTTAATTATTTTTTTTACGACATAATAACTATATACAGAATTATTCTAATAATAAAAGAGTTTCTTCATTAATTTCGATATATATAATACAATGTTTTTTCTCTAGAAATGTCTTCATTGTTGGCAAAACGTTTTAATGAGTGATCACTAGTTTCAAGATACCATTTCTTTTTTATTCTCTCCAAAGACGAAAGCTAAAAAATTGATTAAACGTGTACACGTGAGTTTGTTTTTATAAAATTCACGGCAACTCGTCGTGAATAAACAAAAAGACAAATAAAAGAAGTGAGAGAGAAGAATTAGAAGTGCGACAATAAAATATACACACACACAATTATATGTATATTAGCCCGAGATCATGAAAATTTACCGCGAAGACATGTTATACTAAATTATCACTTAGTGGAATTCTATTCGTTGATGAGATTCTTTTGAGCTTTGTACTAACAACGTAATTATTAGTATGAAAAATTGTGTACCGCGCCAGTGATCATTCACGAAACGTGTGTGATTACAAAAAATTCACCTTTCACTTTTCCCCCGAATGTCGCAAATTCATGTTTTTTCTTCCTCTTCCACCCAAAGAAATTATTCACAATATAAAATCGTTTCCTCACATAGATGCATCCCCTCTGACTATTCTCTCACCCTTTAATATGGCGAGTTTACGGTTGTAAAAAAGATAAAAGTAAGAATAAAACATAATAATAAAAAAAACGGAGAGTTCGTTTAAATTGCCTACATCCGCGACGTACGGCGGAGTTTTTTTGGTAAAAATCTCAGGGTGTATCTTCGAATCGCACAGCAAGCACGAACATTCTTCGGTTGTTTATTTGTTTTCTTCTTCTTTTTTTATGTTTCTATGCATTTCGCAAAAAAAAAACTCGACATGCCTTGAGTGCTCTCCTCCTTCTCTTCCTTCCGTAAACATATTTAGGAAAATATCCAGACTCCAAATGTCAGCAGCTGTCGATCTCTTAACACACACCTTTTTTCCGTCACCTTAAATTATTATTTATCCTTATTGTTTGTTATTTGTGTTATCGATATTAACCATTAATAGTAAGATATAATACAACAAACACGATCGACCGTCCGTCCGCATGATGGACGACGATGGCGAGTTTTATCTCTTTTTGTAATCCGCAATCGAAATTCATTATTAATAACCACGAGTACATACCTTATTCGTTCTGCAAACAATAACGGAATTATTAATAGACGAAATAGCGTTCTGAAATTCTTACAGTTTTCTTTGTTTTTGTCTTCTTCTCTTTTTTCTTAGCATTATTTACAAGCAATTCATGGCCGATTTGAAAACGCAACTACTAAACGATGAGGTATCGTGTGTAAAAGCCTGCGAAATTTAAATCCATCTAAACTACAATAAAAAGGGTTTGAAAATTGACGAATAATTCAAATTACTATGAGAACAGTTTGACAGAAATGGTAAATAAAAGAGCATCGCATTTATCGAGTTGCAATATCAATTTGCAGAAGAATATGAATTTTCAATTTCAGCATTTTCTATAATACGAAATCTGAAGAAAGAGAGAAGCGATGAGTGCTCGAGAACGCTTTTTATCAAAGTACATATGTATGCATTTACGTCAATTGAAAAAAAAGGAAGGACAAAGCTGATTATCAGAACTGAACGTACGCATCTTATTTACTTGCGTATAAAATTAATATCGATAATGTTTCTCGAATTAAACACTATTAATTTGTTTTGCGTCGATTGTATGCTCGAATGAATTCGTAACTTCTGGATCGTTGCATATCAACATCGAGAGAATTTAGTTCTTTTTCTCTTTTACTTTCGTCTTTCCTTTTTTTCTTTTTTATCACTTAAAAATTCTGTCACTGTTTCTCTCTTTCCTTTCGATTTATTATTTTTCCTAGACGAATATTTCTGTGAAGGCTCAATGCGAGCGTTCTCGACATGAGTTCAACAATTATTTTCAATTTCACTTTTGTACACAAAATACCAACTATCTGTGCTGGAAAATGCACATACTACTTGTTGTACCGCGTCCAAATAATAATATTAATAATATAATAATAATAATAATAATATATATATATACATATACATATATATCTATATGTCTATATGTATACGTATAATATTTATATATGTATATGATTTGCATTAGAGTTTTGTTATCTAAAAAGTAGTATTTATAAGTATGCATCGTTTACAATTGCGTAATTATCGTAGCGTGTTTTAACTGCGAATATCTATTGCGGTGTGTTTTACAGTATATATATTCTTTCCATTATTTCTTTGTTTATTTTTTTTCATTTTTTCCATTAATATGTACACAAATCGTTCGCTAATCACCAGCCGTATACTATCGAAGTCAGTTCATTCTTCCTCATCTCTCTTCGTCGATTATCCGCGAGCGGGTATGCAAAAAGCAGGAGAAAATGATAATAGTACAACAGGCCAAACGCACAGCAGGCGTGAAGTTTTTTTCTCCGAATTTTGTTCCCCGCAATTTTGCGTCTAAAATTATAATATCTTGTTCATCGATCATCTTCTCTTTTTCGCATTTTTTCTATTTTTTAACACATACTCTCATATAAGCTTACATATACCATCATACATCACACATGCAATAAGAACATATACATGCATACATACATACATGCATACATATATACATGCATACACACACACACGCACACACACAGACAAGATAATCACATCGCTTGCGGCATATCATTTGAAACATTCACGTTACGACCCACGCATTCGTATGCTACATATATTTTATTCTCTCAATCTGCAGTGGATATTTTGTTTGACTACACGGTAGTCACACTGCTCAACCAATGGAACGAGAGAGGTTCTTGTTCTTGTTGTACACTTTTTATTTTCTTCGTTCCGTTTATTCTTGCTTAATTATTATTCCTCGTTTGCTCATCATCGTTTTTTTATAACGTGCGTCTTCGTGATGCCCTTGGAAGTTTATATTATATCGGTACCTCCGATGCAACTCGAAGTTGACGAATGTAATATATCGAACTGTTGAGTTTACCAATAGGTGTAAAAAGAGAATAATCGACGCTTCGATCTTCTCATGCCATTGGACGCGATCGTCAAAACTATTTTATATAGGATGAGAAAAATTCTTTTCTCCTTATACCTCTTTTCTTTTTCTTTCTTTTTCTTTCAAGCTCATCGTCACCGTCACGATCTTCTTTTATTCTCACAATCTTTTCGTTTGATTGTAGTGATTAAATACATTCAGAGAATGTTTAACACAGTCTCATCAATCATCGATAATCAAAATTAGATATATTTCATGTCTTCTATCATTTTCTTTTTTGTCTTCCTTAATTCGTTTTTTGTTCTTCCTCATATATTTTATAACATAAATATAAAATCCGTAATTTTGGGTTAAAGTGCAAAGAGTCAAAAATTTACAAGCGGAGTTACAAGCTGCAAAATTATAAACGAAATGCGAGAGTTTCTCTAATCTTTTTTCAGTTCACTCATTATATTTTTTTTTTTCTTTTTTTACTTCATTCCACTTTTCTTATTTTTTCTTTTAAATTACAATCAGAAATCAAGAATTCCAGTTCGTCTTGGCGATTTCGCTCAGCCAATTTTTCATTTATTTTCTCTTTTTTGATCCTCTCTTAAAAACTTTTTGATTAGATAATCTTTAAACAACAAAGATGCTTCTGTCTTATATACATATACGTGTGCATATACATTATGTACGTTGACGCATTACCTTCTTTTCTCTTTTTTATTATATTCTTTTTGCAATAAAAATGTGTGATCGAAAATAACGAGAACCGCAGCGTCACTAATATTGACTATAACAATGATAATAATACCATAATGATGAAAATGGCAATAATAATAATAATAATAATAATAATAATAATAATAATAATAATAATAATAATAATAATAATAATAATAATAATAATAATAATAATAATAATAATAATAATAATAATAATAATAATAATAATAATAATAATAATAATAATAATAATAATAATAATAATAATAATAATAATAATAATAATAATAATAATAATAATAATAATAATAATAATAATATTAATAATAATAATTTCTCAGTGACGCTATCATCCACTATAAATAATAGTTGAGAAGTATAGCTTGACCAAGAAAGTCTGCTATATATTCTCAAAAAAACCAAACTGAGCTTGTGATAAAAATAAGGATAATAATAAGTAACAATACTAAAATAATAATAATAATAAATCACTAACGTACATATGTATATTCCTATACAAAGTAGAATTGCACAATATGCATCGTTTAAACAGAGAACATTATTTATATTTAGTCGTAAGCGTTTGGTCTTCAAGCTCTATGAGAAAAATGATACCTGGCAGTAAAGGAAAGGTGTTTTTTCTTTCTTAATTGTGTTTTTTTCTGTTTGTTTTCTTTTTTTCTTCGTCGATCGAATATTCTTATCGATTGTCATAGTTTCTTGAAATATGAACGATATCTGTTTATTTATTTATTTATTTTTGTTATATTTATTTATATTATGTAAAAAAGAAAATAGCGCATAATTAATAGATCAATGGAGAAATAAAAATATTTTGTCAAAGAATAGAAAGATTGAAAGACTATGAAGATGAAAAGATTAATTCTTTTAAGGAAAGTAACTAAATTCGATAGAATTAAACTATTATGTGGATGGCGATGCCAGGTGACATAAAGGAGCCAAATTGATTGACATAGATAATTTTTTTTTCTTGTATATGTGTAAGGATTCGTTCGCATATACGTTCGTGTAACGTTCGTGTAATGAAAAATTTTCATAACTACTTAATTATCTTTCGCCTACGTGCTTTAACATTTTATATATATATAATGACGTACTCTTAAAATTTCGTGTTCGTCATCGTTTAAAATATTACATCGTCTAATGAAAAATTATAAAACAATTACGTTCCATTAAAAATTCGTGATTAAAAACGTTTTGAAAATGAATTATACAATTGCGAAATTAACGAGAGAAGGTAGAAGAGCATAAGAACAAGGGAAAGAAGACATACTTAAAAAAAATAAAATAAAAGTCTAAAAAAATATAAAATAATATGTGTAGATGCGAACGTTCCTTAAGAAAAAATGTAGTATTTCGGCGAGTGATCCCCCAAGATTTATTTTCTTTAAATTAGGCAAACCACCCTATCACAATCTTCATAGCGTTGCGAGAACGCTAAACAAAGCATAGTTGACATTGCGAATCATGGATCGCCGGATGATGAGAACAATAATGATTTGCATATGAAGATAACAATGATGACGACGACGACGATGGTTGTTGCGAATAATAGATAAACGATGGGCGAATGAACGCATAATAACCGGCGACACGATTTAGCAACGTCAAAGTATTTTTCTTCATTTTTCATCATCTTCAATCACTGGTAGATTATGACGTATTCCGTTATTTAATTACGCAACCCAGACGCAAACTCGATTTATCCAGCTTCAACACGTGGCCACCACACTGCACCTTCACTTACTACACCTGCACCACACTGCATCACCTCTACACATTGCAATTGTCATGGTCTATGGAATCTAAAAATGAAATTAATCTTATAATATTGCACTAATATTGAATTAATAATGATCGTCAATTACTTGGTTTCATTTAGTTTTATTTACCTTGTAAGGTGTCGACTGTCTTCGTGTACAGCCATCTCGGAACTCTTGAATTCATTCAATTCCTTCCTAATTGCTGCTTTATCTTTTGGAGTCAATCGCGTCCATGGCTTATCGGCTCTCCTATCGTAGTCGTGAGCTTGCGTAACTTCGATGTAATCGTTGAATCTGATGATCTATAAAACAGACAAAGTATCTTACTTTTTACGCTATCAAATCGAAAATCATTTTTCTTATTTATTTATTTTATTTACGTAGATCTAAGATATTCGTTTTCTTATAATAATCATATTACTGATTTGGACAAATTGTTGAATATATATGAAAGATAAATGAAATTAGTTAATTAACCTCTATACTCATTACTTCTCATAATTTCTCCAGATGCTCCAAGATTATAGAGCAAATAAGATATAATCTATGACGATATACAATGTTTCTCTATTTAATTGTTCATCCTTTAAATACCTTCTTTTCCTTAAGTTCTTCGACGGTTGGTCGAAAGCTAAGTTTTCTTAAAAGATATCGTTTTTTCTCTTCCTTTTGCTTCTTCTCCTCGGCAGGACTTTGTTCTAAAAAAAAATATAATACATAATTATTAATCATATTTCTTGTATTTATAAGAATTAACTTCTTGGATATATTTGATGAGTTAGATTCGTCATGCATTTTTTGTGCTGAAGTGCAAAATAATGAAAATAACTCTTCTATAGATCGAAACAATATTTATCAAATTTAAATTTGCAAGTATTTGTCCAGTATAATGTTATTTGATGAAGTCATTATCAGTTGAAACACAATAAATCAGCGAAGGCGAGCCGGTGACCTGTGGATCACTGTGTGTTCCGTGAGAAAAATCTCAGTAAAGTTTTGTAAATTATTAAAAAAAAAAGAGAGATTTCAAATCTTTGCAAAACAGAAAAAACATCTTAAAATCTTGAAATTAGATAAATAGAATATTATTATTTATCTATATTTCATTTTCCAATGAAATCTCAAAATATGTAAGAAATTTAATTATCTACTTATGTAATAACATTATAAATAATAATATAATATAAGTAATAATATTATAAAAACAAACTTGACATAGACAAATTATCATCTTAAAAGTACCAGCAAATTTTACATTAGTTTTAAATAAAATTATACTTTTTAATTTTGATTTTGTGTTTTGTTGTGCTACTATAGATTGATTAGAGTTAAGTATAAAATTTATTATTTTTTTTTTAATTACTCATTATCAGCTCAAATATTTGATCCGCGACTGATAAGTACACAATTTTTTATTTAAGTTAGGAAAAGATCTGACATCGTTGCAGTAAACAGTCACAATATTTCGGTGTATCTTGGATCCACGTGGAAAATTTCTGCAAGTCGCTATCCAAGGAATTAAAATGTAATTATAAACGAAGAAACTTACTTTTTAAAATATTTCTTTCCTCTAATTCCTCTTGAGTAGGACGCATACTCAGTCGCCTGAAATACAAATAATTTTATATCACAATTTTTCAACTATCAATGTGTAATGTATACATAACTATAGAAAAGAAGAAACAAAAAGAAAGAAAAAATCATTTTACCTGATAAGCCGAGCACCAATAGCCTCCTTCGTTTCTTGCCTTTCATTGTCTGTTTGTAACTGAAGAATATTTCTATTGATGAGCTCCTGCCTATCAGGCCTGAGGGCTAGTTTCAACGAAAGTGATTCTTTGCGTGCGATTTTAGCTGCCAGTCGAGCTGCAAGAAGAAACAGTTTTCTATTATTTTTGAGTGTTTCGAACTATCCTCCTTTTATTTTCCTTCGCCTGCATCTCCAATTTTCTTTTCTATTTCGTTCTTTAACCTTGTTTTACCGGCGAGAAATTAAAAGACCGTTGAAAAATAGAAGTTTTGTTGTTGATCAGTTCGATCGAAATACATGTACGCGATAAAGTCGAGGCGATCCAAATTGACAACATTCTTTCATCGCTTCAAACAACGTGATAAGAAATAAAACAAGAAAGATAAAAGAGCATTAAAAAAAGACAGACAGAGACAAATATCTAAAAAATCAGAGACAACAATAGTACAAACATCGAGAAAATATTAAAGTTTGCCAGCTATCTTCAAGGTTTATGTAACTTTTCGTAGTGGCGACGTAATACGTTTGCTTACGCTCGCGCGAAAATATAATTAGTTTTGTCGACGAAGGCTGATTTGAAATTGTGCGGAACTTATCTCGCTCGTCTTGCAAATTTATTATATATAGGGTGACTCAGAATAAGTAGAATATTTTAGGGGTAAGTTTTGCAAATTTAAACAATAAAACAATTCATATAAACATATATCCTATATGGTTTTGTTCTTAAGTTTATAAAGGATTTAATTTTCAACAAACTCTATATGCTTATTTGTATAAAAGATATTCTAAATGACCTCATATCTGATTAAAAACCTGCAGATGTCTTACCAATGACTATTTTAATCTCTCCATGTATCCAGATGCTTAAAACAGTTCAATCTGTTCACGAAGATGTTACGACCATTTAACGAAAGAATTATTGCAATACAAATTTCGCTATAACTCGAAAACAAAATTAATTAGGACATATGTTTATATGAACTTTTTTATTGTTTTGATGTGCTAAAGTCTCCCACCCTACAATATTTCCCATTTATTTCGGGACACGCTATATATAGGTATACATCTGTATTTGGCATGAAGAATTTATGTTATAAAGAATTATAATAATCGATCGAGAGTTCTATGAATGACTTAATTCAGTTGTTTTATGAGAAGAATGATCTTTTTTGTATTTTGTGACTAACTTGTAGCTACATAATTATCTAGTTTTTATCGTACGAAGGATCATGAATTTTATTAGTGATATTTATATTATTTTATTGTCTCTTATTGTCAGTCATTATTTCGAAATATTACGTTGTAATCTTTTTAAATTGTGCACTTTTAATATAGCACCAAATTTAACACTAAATTTACAGACATTATTTATATACGTACTTTTACTGAAACTGATACATAAACATGCGATTTTTATTATTATAACATTAATTCATATTATTACATCAATTAAAGTTAAGATAAATTGCTATAAATAATATCTTTATTTCTATATCTTTAAGTATGAAATATCCATTCCGTTAAATTGACAAGTCTGTAAGTGTAGTATTAAAGGAAAGTTTACAATGATAAAAAGTAATTGCACTTATTTTGTAAAACGATCTCAATATTCCCCAATTAAAATAAAAATTATGAGAATTTTATTCGAATAACAATAAATATTTGATTTAAATAATTTTACTATTTATTTATTATTATAAAAAATTATACATACATATTTATTTATTATTATATAAAAATAAATATAAAATATTTATATTTATACGAATAAAATTCTTATATAAAAAATTCCTTCGAGAAATAGTATCTAGATTATACAATGTAGTTGCTCAATTGATTCTTACTTTTTTCATCATCATACTCATCCCTATAAAGAACTTGTCCGTCACTGCCATCACCATCAACGTCTTCTCGAATAACGTAAGGCCTCGCATTCTCCTTATTTTCCAACGTACACGGCAGAGCAAGTCCGAATCTGACTGGTCGACTGCTGAAAGAATGTATGATAGAGAAAATTCGTCATTAATTCATTGTTTTTATCGAAATTATATCGATTGATACTATGTAAACTAATGTTCTACTCTATTACACAATATTCAAAATTTAGATGCGTATATGGATGGGAAACAATAATAATAGTAATAATAATAGTAGTAAAATGATAACTACGCAATACAATGATACAAGTGACAAAAAGCGATTGTACGATCGAACTTAAAATGACAAAGCTAATTGTAAGCCCTGATGATCCATCGATCGTCATAAATACGAAAGATATTTGTAATACATTACACTGATAATAAAACCTAATGCAATATCATTCGTTTTAATTCGTTATTTTGATATTTTTCATTACAAGAAATTCTATCACATATTGTAAATATTTGAATTCGAAATAACTGCATGACTTGGAGTTAATAATAAAATAATTCTTTTCATTAATTAACGATGAGGAGGTGAAATACGAGATGGTATCGTCATCTCGTTCGTTTCTCGACAGTAATAAGTACTAGTATAAATAAAGTACTGGTAATAAGTAGGACAAATTCAAGAGAAGGGGATCAAAAAGTAGAGGTTTTCTAACATAGGAAATTGAAATATCGGTTGTTGTTCGATGCTCACCGAGCATCGAATTCGATTATTTCGTTATGAGAGATAAACTATACATATTATATTACATACTGTCTGGTTTAAAAATACATTCATAATTATTTTTTAAACTACAAAATATATAACGGATTGTTGTTGTGTAAAAAGGGAAAAAACCAAAAGTTGTATGATATAAGAAATAATTACGTGCATATAGCAAAATGGGGCGTACCGTGTATAATAAATGTATATATGTACATAAATTGATGTGAAAAGCATAATAAGTGAAAGAGTATTTTTCATGAATATCCCTAAGGTTTTCTCATGCTTAAGATCGAACGTTCCATGCTTTCGACGTTCGATACAGAGGCAAACAGAGGTCAACGGAAAGATTAGAACATTTTGGTTGTTTGCAATCAACCATCACATGGCTTTCAAAATACAATGTTTATACATATATTATATATAATATATACCATCGGTTCGCGCATGCTTAATTAGACTAATGTCCAATTACCATATTCTCATCCTAGGCCTCAACGGTGGCCTTCTGGTTAAGCATAAGAAAAATATGATAGTTTTACTAGCGATTGATATGTCGTAATGGGTTCAACATGATGGGATGGTGTACGATGTAAATGCTTCGAACGATTCACGCTGGAACATAGTTCGATCATTCTTTCGTCATCGTTCAATTTTACATAATTTTAATGAAAAAACTTTGAAAAGCTCATCTAAAGAATAGAACGATATTCCAGATTAACTCGAAACTCTTCCCTCCTTATTCTCTGAACAATCAATCTAATATAGATAAATAATGGAATTTTATCAATAGCAAAAAATCTTTTTTTTTCTTTCTTTTTTTAATAAATAGAAATGAATTCAGGGACAAGGAGAATGTAGCGCCTGGACATAAGTGTCCAGGCAAATCCTCGAGTCGTGAACGAAGAGTTCAAAGATAGGATTTTTCGAGGAATTACATTTCTCTCTCTCTCTCTCTTTCTTTTTTCCGTGAAAGACCCTTCGTCGACTAAACCCGACTATTGAAAATACGAATGAAAAGAAACCGCAAAAATATCGGTGCGCATTGTATTCATGAACTCTTCGTGCATCCGCATAAAATTCGGTGAATATGTTTCTAAGTGCTTGCTATTAGAGTTGTGCTCTCATATAGAGATTAACTAACTTGAATGAAGCATGGAGCTCTTGGCGAAGAGTCAATGGCCTGTTTTCCTGCGTCGGTGTATTTTGCGGTGTTCCAGGGCCACTACTAGATCCCTTTTTCTTCAGTGCACTTTTCAATGGTATTGCATGGAACTTAGGCTCTTTCGCTGGTATTTCTTCGATCCTAGATGTATCGATCGCTGGATCTGGTTGAGACACCCTAAAGACGTAAAGATTATCGTCTTCCTCTTCCACGTCGATGTCTTCGTCATCTACGAAGGACACGTACACTGTCATATCAGTTTTACATTAAAACAGGTACTAAAATGATCCTTCGTTGTGTTTTTTTCAAGCATTCTACGTTATCGAACGAGCTATTTTTATGATGCATACACAAAAATATACGAAGAAGTTTTACATTCTTCTAGAATCCTTTATTTTAAAGTTGATTAAAATTTTTGCTTTAATTAAAAAATAGCAGCTCGTACTATATACATAGAACATTTAGACATAGTTTATTGAAAATAAAAAAGAAAATAAAAGCAATCTCACCTTCGTCCTCGCAATCCGATAAAGGGATTTGCTGTTGTCGCTGCCTCGTTACCAATGTGGGACTCGGCGAGCTGAACATAGGCGGTGGTGGAATCGGTCCGATCTCGCTTAAGGGAATTGGTGGTTCCGGAAGTTCTGACAACATCAGAGTGTTTTGAGGTGGTAAAGGATAACACCTCTCTATCACCTGCTGTTGATTTTCGACGCTTTGATCGAGAACAGCCTTTTCCACTGAAATTAAATAAAAAATACGATTAATTGCGTTATTAATTATTTAACAATTAAAATTTATCAATGAACAACAGCTGAAGTTTTTTAGAATGAGACAAATAATAAATGAGAATTATTTTAAAGATTTTTTATTCGAGATCGAAAGAACGTGATTCATGTCGATGGTATATTGCAAAGCCAAGAAAATCTTGGCAACGGTCATTCTTTCTCTCTTTTTCTTGTCATCGAGAGAACTTACGAAATATTCACGGAACGAGTCATCTTTATCCAATTTCACTAGACATTGGAAAGAAGATCGAGATCAAACATACGATTTAAAGATCTTTGTCTTACCAAATTACAAAAACGATCTACCTAATGTTGTATATCATCTGTCATCTCTCTTTTTCGAATATTATATAATCGAAAAATTCATAAGGTCGATAAAATTATTTCCGAGGTAAACATTTAGAAACACATAGGTACATGTGTGTGTATATATATCCCACGATAAAGTGACAAAATCTAACAAACTGATCTTGCTGTGAGAAGCGATCGTTTGTCCACCACGAAATATTTCAGTTATCACGAATTCTTATCGTGAAAGTTATAACATCCACAAGGGATTATTATTTATTTTTGTTTGTTTTTTAATCCGTCAACGCTATTAAAATAAATCCTTAATATTGCGTTATTCGGTTTTAAACATGATAGTGCATATTTGAAATGTTAGAAACTTTTTTCTTGCTCTCTCTTTTATCTACACTTTAAATGATTTATAATTAACATCGTACTATTGTAACTGCACTATTCACTTCTTCTTTCATCTGATATTGAAATTAGAAATAATGAAAATAATTTTAAATTACGTATCGTTGTACAAATCTCTCTCTCTCTCTCTCTCTCTCTCTCTCTTTCTCTCTCTTTCTCTTTCTCTCTCACTGTTTCTCTCACATCTGTAATCCAAGAGCACAATGTCGAAACTTCTTTTTTTTTTTAATATTTCTGAGGGAAGTACCAATCTTTTTGTAATTCATTATATCTATCTTTTTCTCCCTCTTTTTTTTCTTGTTTTTCTTCTCACTCGAGAAAAATTTGTGGTCAATTCAATATATTCTACCTCACAGGACAATGTAATAGAAAATTATTAAAAGATTTTGCTGAGATTTCTGCCTTACTTTCCTTTTTTCTTTCTTCTCTTTCTTCTTTGGGTTTATTCATCTCCTGTTATTCCTTTATTTCTATCTCATACTCTACCAATAATCATTGTGTCGTCATTGTGATATATATCGAAAATTATAAAATAAGATGTCTAAACTTTTTAACAATTCTTAACCTCTTTAGAATATCGTAGATTAAAAAGAAAAAAAATAAAATACATATCTAATATTGCCGCCGCTATATAACTATAAATAGTCAACATTATAACAGTCACGAATACAATCTTTCAAAGTGATCTTCGCAACGAATCTATTGTAAAAAAATATAGAAAAGAAAAGCAACTTAGTTTTTATTATCTTTTTTTAAAAAAAGAACAAACTTTTCTCTGAGCCGAAAGAATAAAAAACAACGATGATATTTCCGTATATATGTATACTCACTGTCGAACAAGATCAGTCTCCTGGCTACAACCCTTGCATCGAGGGTGCTTGGCCTATGCGGCTTTTGTTGATCCCCTGTATTTGTGGTCGTATCTGAAACAGGCATCGTAACGCTCGTCGTTGTGCCCTGATTGACTTGAATCTCACCACTTGGCGAAACCGCGCCATTTGCACTCTGTTCAGTTTTTTCCTTCTTCGGCTCTGCAACAGAAAAGAAAAACGAGTTCGACGTAGACTGCCCAAGAAACTTCTTTTTCCCACCTTCTTTCTCCTTCTTTCGTCTATTTCTTTTCTTCTTCTCTTTCTATTTAAAAAGATAAAAAATAATAGAAACAATAAGATCTGCGCTCAGAGAAAAGTTTCCTTTCGACTTTTTTGATAGAGTTTGATAGAATTTGTTCACACAAACGTTGTCCTTTCAAACATAAATCTATTCATTTGATCAAGTTTCTTAAGGATGGGACTGATTAATTCGTGAATTGTTTTCCGTTTATCTCATTTACGTTTATAATTAGAGAAAAGTGTGTGATTAAAGACCGACTGTTATCATTAAGCGTTACCACTTCATGCATTTCTGCCCGACACGATAAAGTTTCTACTACTATTACTACACTACTACACTATTACTACATTGGATATAAAACAAGACCGTTTCTATTTAAATTTTCAAACGTTAATTATGCCATACATTAAAATTATAAAAAATAAAAAAAAACGATTAGTTTTACTACAATTTGTTCTAATGTTTTATTATAAGAAATATCGAATATCGAAATTTATGATGGTGGGCAAACCACGATTAATTTGCATGTTAATTTATATGCCTCGTCTATCTGTTTCTCTCTTTCTCTTTCTTTGTCTCTCTTTCTGTTTAAATGTCGACGTTGAATAACGTGTGGCATGAATTTATTGCCAACCAAATCGGAAAAAGCGAATTTAGTAGGACTTATCGAGTTCGATGACCGGTATGATCGGTCTTCCCTCTTGCTCTATTTTCGAGTCTTCCACAATTCATCGGCGGAGAAGTTGGATGATCGTCAAATTGCAAAATACACGTGCAATAACCAGATCAATTGGTTGCTTTCTTTCTTGACTTCCTTTCTTTCACGATTGCTGCTTTAGTGTTATTCGTTTCGAACAATACCTTTTGTGACAAAAAACAAATCATTTCATTTGGATGTTCTTCTCTCAATTTTTTTCGGCACGTTACAGTAGAATTAGTTTGAAAAGAATTAGAGCAATAAACTTTCCCTTTACATTCTTCCTCTCCATCTCTCTCTCTCTCTCTCTCTCTCTCTCTCTCTCTCTCTCTCTCTCTCTTTCTCTTTCTCTTTCTCTATGACTCAGAGAGATGTAGATCTCATGATGGCTAGTATCCGCTATTCAAGTGGATTGTTTGAGAAAGAAAATGAAACAGTGGTCTCGCTAGCTATGACTTCAATCGAATCAAAAACGAGATTGGAAGTTCACTTTGGCATTCTTTCTCCTTTTCTCATCACAATCATTATTTTTCCCTATTTTCCTTACTTATCTACCCTACTTTAGATTTCACTTTCTTCTTTTTACTTTCACAAATCAGTCGATTCGATAGTTTCTTGAATTCGAAGATGTTTGATGACAATTTGGATCCTTGCCAATGAAATTTCTAACTAACGAATGAAACTGACGAATGTGACATCGTTTTGTTACCTCTCTTACTTTTTTCTTTTTCTCCTTTCTCTTCGCCTCATTAGCTTTTCTCATTTTCGAAACGAGAACCGAGGACAAGGCAAACCTATAAACGTATTGAGCCAACACAATACGAATTTTATCGCATTCTCATTGAAGAAAAAATTCTCCGATCTTGGAGAATCGCATATTAAAAAAAGAAGAAACAAGTATTTATGTATATTTGTATATTATAAATTCTGACCAGAAATTTCCAACCATTTGAATTAATCTTACTTTCTATATCTTATCGTTATCTCTGTACTTTAACAAAAAATATCACTATGCGTTAAGTAATATTTCTATAAAAGCACACCTAAATTGTTATATTTATGTGTAAATAATAGAGTGAGAATACTTCTAATAAAAAGCTTCTCAATAATTGTTTATTATTTTTTGATAATTATACAATGGATATTTAATATCCATCGAAAATTGGGAACCATTTGTTTTTTACTCGTTTTTTAACCGTTATATTAATTTCTATTATTTATAAATAAGCACAGTGGAAGATAAAACTGACGTCATTGATTTATCTATAGATACATTAATTATTGATATTTTTCAAATTGTGCAATATGTACATCCGAAATCGATAAAGAGACAAAATTCTTAAAGAGAACTATTGTAAAATAAAAAAATCAATATGTATTAAAACTAGATATATCATATAATCGAATACTTCGTATAGATCATCATTTGGTAATTAGTTCAATAATCAATATGCGAGATATACATATAATAATATTACACAAAATCTAATCCACATACAACACAAACTACAATTAACCGACTAATTGGATAGAATTCAAATCAATCGATTATATAATTTTCGATGAAAGAGTAGATATTTTGATCGAGAGAATGTTATGAATCGATCTTTAAATATTCGATTAATCGTAATCGTGTTAATAATGTTTAATAAGATATCCGTTTATCTTATTATCTATTAAAACATCTAGGAATATCTAACAATAATAAAAAAAAGTAAAACAAAGAAAGAATGAAAAAGAAACGATAAGATGATAGAGTCGTGTATCATGGTTTCAAATAAGTATAGCTCAGTTTTATCTCCTTGACATTAATTTATTGAATCAGCCATAATAAAAAGAGAGAGAAAGAGAAAAAAGAGGGAAATGTTAATAACGATCGAGCTACGAGGAATGAAAAGACGACGATTATCGTTGTATATACGCATGTATATTAATAGCTCAAGAATACGTAAAGTTGTTAGAGAATTAATGGTTACCGAAGAAAATCTTTCCTTTTTTTTGCTTTTTTTATTTGTGTTCAGACTTTCTCAGGAAATGGAATTGATTGCAAATAAAAATCAGAAGTTCTTAGTTCAGAAACAAGAAATGTATAATCAAAGCAACAAATCTGATCGTTAAACCAAATTGTCAAATCTGATCATTTTGTGCTCAAATCGCGTACTGCATATGTATGTATGTATGTATGTATGTATGTATGTATGTATGTATGTATGTATGTATGTATGTATGTATGTATGTATGTATGTATGTATGTATGTATGTATGTATGTATGTATGTATGTATGTATGTATGTATGTATGTATGTATGTATGTATGTATGTATGTATGTATGTATGTATGTATGTATGTATATATGTATGTATGTATGTATGTATGTATATATGTATGTATGTATGTATGTACATCGTTTCTAAAATTATTTGATTTGATAAGAACTTATTCTTATTATATAAAATGAAATAATCTTACTAATACAAAATTGTTTTTTTAATTTTTTTAATGCAAGTGGCACTAGAAAGATAGAAATCACTATCGGTTTAATATTAAAACTGCCAATCTATTTTTTATTATCCATTAATTTGACAAGTACTTGAAAACAATTTTAATGGATTTTATAATTGTAATGTTAAATAGTTATCTATATTTTAAATACCTTACCAAAATGAATGCACGATACAATCTATTCGATGAGAATCAACTCGACTAGACGAAAAATGCTCGAATTTTCCATTATCTCTGACTATTTAAAAGAAGGTTGTTCGCGACATTTTCCTCCTCTTTCTTTTTCTTGAGTTCGAAGCAAACTGTCGAGACGCTTATCCGAACTGCCTCTAGAAACAAGTAGAAACTCATCGTGCGATGAAAATAGACGTGGCTGTGTGAGAATTACTGCAGGAAAATTAGCTCCAACGAATTGCGCGAAGATTCTGCGAGTCGACCTTCGGATGTGTATGATTGATTTTCCCTCTCCCTCTTTGTTTCTTTTCATATCCGCCTGTTCCTTAAAATATCGAATCGAATGTCACGGATTGCCTTTCTCAAACATATCGATCGCAAGCTGCGTATGACAGTTTCGTAAAAGGAAAGATCACTTTATTTTTAATTCTTCTACAAAGTCTTTGCTGCCAAGTTAGTCTACTAAAACGAATGCAGATTTTACTGACGTTTTTTTCTATTAGAAAAATTGCCATTAAATATATACACATAGTAATTAAATACATCCATCATAAAATTTTAATAACAAAAGTTTTATAATAAAATTTTATATATCAAACTTTAATATATCAATAATTGATACCAATACCGTTTTTATAGACGTGTTAAAAAAGGAAACAAATAAAGATAATTGATTTTATTCGACTTAAAAAACATCAATAAAATAATATTTCTCAGCAGTATCAGTTATCAGAGCTAAAGAAATTTTCACGATCTATTATTAAACATTTAATATTTTAATAGCATAGAAAACAAATATTGAATTACGAGTACTTTTGAAATGATCATAAACAAGTAAAAGATAACGAACCATAATATATCTTTTACTTTAAACAATAAAGGAAAATAAAGTATTATCCATTACACATATGCTCTTATAAAAGATAAATTTCATTGTATAAATTAAATCCACGTGTAATTTTGCTCTTTTTAATATATAAATAAAAATTATTTTTATAATGAAAAGTCAATTATTATATTATTTATCGACACTATTTCAGATTCCGAATTATCTTAGTCACTGAAATGTAGCAAATTTGTAAAATTTGTTACATAAAAACAAAGTATAAAACTAATCAACAATATCATTTTTTAAATTATGAATGACGATAACATGTGTTCAATCGATCTAAATGTTTATCCTCATAAAAATAATAAAATAAAAAGATACGCTCTCATACATCATCAAGAAGAAAAGAGAGAACATCTCTCTCGTGAGTAAAAACATGAACGTGTACCATATGACAAACGCGACTATGAATAGAGTCTAGCTACTTCCGTGGCGTGCTGCCCTTGGCACTGACACATAGCTCTTTCGTTATATTGTCGACAAAATTTCGTTTAGTTAGAGCGACAAGTTAGTCATTTTCCTTTCTCAAAATCAATTAAAACAAACAAACAGAGAAAAAGAGAAATACTTGCTTCGATGAAGTAACGTCTAAAACAAAAGTTGTTTAAATGAAATGGACTCGTAAAGTTCATAATTTCTTTTCTCAGTGTCACTC